CATGGGACCCACGTATCTGGGCACCCAGCCCACCCCACTTCCACCCATGCTTCAAGCACTGCCTTTCCGAGGAACCCAAGTGTCCAGGCTGGCTTCACTTAGGGCTCTGACTGCTTCCACTCTGCTCCTCTTCCAGGGAACCCAGGGATCTGGGCACCCAGCCACACCTGCTCCCACCCCCCAGCCATTCTCCCCCCTAGGAAACGCCTTCTGTCACCTCCCAGCCCCACTCCCTGCCCAGAGAACCTAGGTGTTCAGGCATCCAGCTCCCCTGCTCCTACCCCCACTCAGAGAACCCAGGCATCCAGGCCTCAAATGTATGGTGGAGGCACGGTGTTGGCTGGGGGAACCCCAGCATCCAGGGTGGCCCCCTGTTATCTGCCCCATCTTTGCTCTCAGGCTCTGCCAGCTTCCTGTCCCCTGCCTCCACCTCGATGATAGGTTCTCTGCCCACTTGGGGATGGGGAGGTGGTCTGGGAACCAGAATGCCTGGGTTCTTTGCTGACAGCTCTTGCTTGGAGAATGCAGGTCGGAAACGGCAGAGAACCCAGACCTCTGGGATACACAGGAGGGGAACCCAGGCATTTGGCAGGGGGTTAGGGTTGTGGGGGGCAACACATAGCCTGGATGACTGGGTTCTCTCTGAGTATCCCAAACACCCGGGTTCCCTGACTATGTCCTGGACGCCCGTGTTCCATGTGTGCGTGCCCTGGACAAGTGTGTTCTGCACGTGTGTGTCCGTCTGCATCCTGGATGCCGCTGTTCCATATGTGTATGGGTGTATGTGTTGGATGCCTGTGTTGTGTGTGTACAGTATGTCTGCGCCTCAGATGCCTGTTTTCTGTGTCCCAGATGCTTGTGTTCCGCATGCATGTCCATCCGTGTCTTGGATGTGTGTCTCCTATGTGCATGTCCATCTGTATCTTGGATGCCCATGTTCCATGTGTGTGTCCTGGATGCCTGGGTCCTGTGGGTGTGTGCACATGTGTGCGTGTCCCCCAGATGCCTGAGTCCCGTGGTGGGGAGTGTGTGTGCATGTCCCAGATGCCTGGGTCCCATGGGTCTGTGCGCATGTGCGTGTTCCCCAGATGCCTGGGTCCTGTGTATGTGCGTGTCCCAGATGCCTGGGTCCTGTGTGTGCGCGCATGCGTGAGTGTGCCATCGACACCTGGGTTGTGTGTGTGCGTGCACACGTTCCAGGTATGTGGGTTGTGTGTGTGCAGGAATATGCCCCAGATGCTGAGGTGTTTCACCTAGGTTCCCTGTGCATGTGTGTGCTGCCTGTACAGCTAGGTTGTGGGGGGGGCGTGTTATCTCCCTGGGACTGTGATAAGCTTTATCTTGGGGCTCTTCCCCCCCACCCTCGGGGGAGCGGGAACCACTCGCCATTAGGATCCCGACCTTGAAGGAGCTAGGCATCTGGGGGGAGCCAGGCACCTGGGTGGCCCATGGGGGACTCGAGCTCTGGGAGGACCCTGGCACCTGGGTAGCCAAAAGGAGAATGAAGAGGAGGTAGAGGGTTTCCAGAGGCTGGTGGGGAGGAGAGAGACAGCCTGGACACCCGGGTTCTCTGGGGGTTGGGTCCAAGGGGGCGGGGGGGGGGCGGTGCTGGGGGCAAGGGAGTGGGGTCTCAGCAGGGGCCAAGAGCCTGGATGCCTGGGTTCTCTGGGATAGGAATGAGGTCTATGGGGGTGAGACTCAGTTAGGGGTGGGAGCCAAGATGCCTGGGTTCTCTGGGGCAATACCAGGTTCTGGGCGGGAGGTCAGATCTGGGGTGGGGGGAGGCACTGGGAGCCTAAACACAGGTTCTCTGGGATAGGAACCAGGCCCTTGTGGGGGTCAGATCTAAGTGGAGGTGGGGAGCCTAGATGCCTGGGTTCTCTGGGACAGGAACCATGTTTTTTGTGGGGGAGAGACCTAGGTGGGTCCTCCCCATCCAGGCCCAACCCATCTCTCTTCTGCCCCCCCATGACCCCCCC